GTGTTGTAAAATTATTATTTTATTAAACTTTAGAAACAGAAAAATAAGCCACAAATTCACTTCCAGAGTTGAGGTTTCAGGTCCTGAAGGGTTTTTTTGGTTGGGGACTTTTTCCAGACAGGAGCTTTAAGTGGCATAATCACTTTCTAAAGCATAGGACTGTCACCATAATAATTGTCTTTTCATGCATCTTATTTTTTTAAAGCTACAGAAAATTGAGCCTAAAAATGTTAATAATCACCAGTAGTGGTCAAGCTCTGGAAATGCTGAACTTATTATGCAACAACATGTCATATATCACATGATGCAGATGAGGCTTCGCGAAACACAGAATGTGTAATACAAGTGTTACAAACCTGATTTCTTGCTTTTTCTGAGTGGCTACAGAGCATTTAGCGACAGTTTGAGTGGCTTCCCACTTAAGAACAGTTCTAGAACTACTCTGAAGAACAGTAGGGGCTGCCAGCTTCCCCAGTACACTTTGGGGCACCTGCTTTACAAATATTCTACTAATAAGAAATCTGATTCCCATTTGTTGGGTCTATGTGCTTATGAATTTAATAATGCTGCTGTTGATGTGTTCTCTCTCCTGTCCCATGAAATCCTCCAGCAGTTACATGACTTGTGAAAGCATTACACAACCAAATAGTGCCCAGTTGGAAGGGGTCAAGCCAGTGTCCTGTTGAAGTCTTTGCACAGCAAAGTATGTGCTTGTATGTTTTTAATGTTGATTTAGTCTTGTCAAATTGTTGTCTCCGAATTGTGTAGAAACTTGGTCAGTTACCACCATTTCTTACAGCAGAACCTGTTTTAAATACTGATCACACTTAAAACACAACTAGAAATAGATTCCCAGAAATTGTCAATGAAGCACCTGCATTTGATATTCTTTCTATTCTGCAAATGAAATCCTGACCTTTTACTGTTAACTGCAGTGTCTTTTGTTGTCAGAAAAAGGTTTCAGACATTCTAATTTTTAATTAGTCAATAAAACTGATCCCTCTCATTCTCATTGCATTTATCTTCCCAATTCTGTAAAGGCAATTGATGATCTCACCTAAATTTAAACTACCAGCTTCCACATGTTGTTATGGACCACAGTGACCATATTTAGTTCTGCTGGATGCTGTTTACTCCTCTTCTGCTCTTGCCACCACAAACATGTCATACTGATGAAATATTTAGACAGAAGTATATTTTAACCAAGACAGGAGGATACTGGGACTGTATCTCAAACAATTAGATACGTTTAGAACTTGATGGAAATACCTATTCAATGCTTTGATATACTGCTTCCCATAATGAAGGCCATCCTGTAATAGTTTATACAATACAAAAGCTTTGTAATGCTGAAACCTTAATACAGGACTTGAGGAATGAAAAAGAAGAGTGGAAGAGGCTGCAAGGTAGCAACAAATGACGGGTGCTTAAATAAAGCATGCAGAATATTTCCCTGGATGTCAGGAAGCAATTTGCATTCTAACAGTTGAGACTAACAACAAATACCCAAACCAAACTGGAACTTCCCAGGAGATCAGTTGAAAGAGAAGGCCATGTACAATTTACCTGATGCTAGAAGCTGAAATAGAGTTGAATTTCTAATAGAAAAGGTCTGTGAAATTCTGTGGAATTTGTTGGGTGTTTTGTCATTTTTCCCAGAAGGCACCATTGTAATTTCAAGTACAGTTTGCAAATAAAAATTACTACTACTACTACTACTACATGCATGTCTTCTTTCACTGTTTTGTGTAACTGTATGTGCTTGCTTGGATGTCTCAGAGCAGGATCTGCAATCCATAACAAGAAGCAATCTGCGGAGAAAAATGTACATAGCTTCTCAAGTCTGCCAGGTTCAGAGTAATACTTTCCCAATGTGAAATTGCCAGACCATCTGCAGAAAATTTTTTTTACTATAATTTACTACTCCTCATATACAGCATAAATAGATTTCTGTTCATTTCCCATGTCGTCTGTAGTTCTTAGTCCACTGCCCAACCCCTCTCCCCCATGAACGATTTTCATGAAAACAGAGATTTAAAAAATGGTTCCAATTGATCTTTGTTCTGCAAAAAAGCAGGAAGGTACCTGTCCTGCCACTGCCAGAGGGTCCACTGCCTTCCTTGTCTTGAGGGCAAGGATTCCAGCCTGGGGATCACATGACTTTTCAAGAGTATTTGTGGGCAGGGAAGGTTACAGGACCTCACATGGATAACTTTGGCTGGTTTTGTCCACTGGGCACAGCATTGTTTGTTTTCCAGTATGGGGATGTGTTTTTGTTTTAACTAGCACAGAAAGGCAGGGGATGCTCCTCTTCTGTAATTTCATGTATGTTTTGCCCGTGGAGCAGCTGCAAAGCAGAAGTCCCGATCTCTCAACCCTACATTGATTTGCAGGTGGTTTCTAACATCCAAAAGCTCTCTGAAGGATAATGGCGGTAAAAAAAAGCAGAGGGAAAAAAAATAAAAACCACTGCCAGACCAGGTCCTGCTTTGAAATCACTCCCATAGATCCTTTTTGCAATTGGTCAGGATGAAGAATGAAAGTAGAAATACCTTTGCTGGACACCTAAGTAATGATCTCTTCCTTGCTTGGGGAAAATCACCTCCTGAAGTCAGGCTTCTGTCCAGTTCTCTGTACAGTTCCTTGCTCAGGGTGACCTAGAGACAGAGCTAGGAGAGAAACCAGCATTGGCAGCTCTTGGTGCTTCCAGCAGCAGGGCATCAGTACTTCCCTACCACTGCCACCTGGGCAAAACTAAGATCCTCAGAAGACATTTGAAGGGCAGGAGAAAGTGTGCTTTTCCCCCATGACAGTACCTGCTGACATGCTGTGTGCATTTATAAAACAGGTCTGAAAAGAACTTGGGGGAAAGAAAAAAGGCACCTGTATTTAGACATTGTTGCACATTAAACACTTGCTTATAACTATGTCCTGTAGCAGCTAACACAGTACCCTAGCACATAGGAGGTAGTACAGCACAAACACACATCTGCACAAGCCAAATACTAACTACAGAAACCAATTAATCACCCCAAGTTACCTTAAGGGCAGCACACAGCTGTCAGATCTGCTTGCACATACCAGGAGCTCCCAGTCTGGTTTCTGTAACGCTTACCCTCAAGTATTCCCTTTTCTAACCAGCTATCTCTCTTCTACCCTGTATTTTCTAATATTGAAAAAAATCCTCACAAAGCCTCTTTGCAAGAAGTCCCATTAAAGATATATTCACCATATTATGAGAATTAGCCATAGCAATAGTACATCCAAAGTGCCCACAGAGGAACTGCTGTAGCGGAATTGAAGCCATGCTGCGTAAAATGATCTGAGCGTTGCCTATTAGCAAGGGCTGCTATACATGAAGAAAAAGAAAACACTACCATAGGCTCAGACTCAAGGTTCCTCTGACTGTGAGTTCTCTCCGGGGGCGATAAAAAAAACCCACCAAAATAAGCAGCCATAATGAGCACACAATTCTAAAAGCAAAACCCTCAAGCTCCATCAAAGCGAATAGTTGACTGGGGAAAGAAACAGTTCCCCTTATTTGTCAAGTAAGTTCTCTCTCCCCTTCTTTCTGTCACTGTAAAGTGTTCTGACTCATTTTCTCCCACACTGGGGAGTTTGGTAGCTGTAGTCCCATTCATCCAGATGGCCTGTCAGGGTTTACAGGCATTCCTTAAAAATAGAAGCAACCTAATCCTGGTTCTGGTAATTTAAAAGAAATTTTTGCAAACCTGCATTGTACTTTCAGAGCTAACAGGCAGTAATTCATGGCTGTGATATGAGATAGTTGGTTTCCTCTCTTGCCTCCAATTTCACAGACACATTCCTTGTTCTGTGTTGATACAGGCTGTTGTTCTGCAGTTATTTGCAATCTCTCATCTTTCACTTGATGCTGATTTTTTGCAGCTGAGGATACTGATTTTCATGCAGATCCCACTGGAATTATTACTGGTACCTCATTACACACCCATGTGGCAGTAACAGCTGAATGAATGGGATGCCGCACCATTTTCAAACCGTTACAGTTTCATACTCCAACACAAACCAGAGCCATCTTTGTCACGTTACTGGTTGCAATAGCAGCTTACATGAGAAAAACTGAGCAGACAACTAGAATTGGTTACACACAACTGCCAGATCTGCTGTGTGCAAGTCAACACGCTACGTAATACAGCCTGACCTTGTCATCAGAATTGAAGTCCAGGCTTTAATTGTAGCTGTCATCAAAGTATTGTCTCCAAAGTGAGATGTTTTGGGCTACAGCTACACATCCTGGCAGCCTAATGTCAAACGGCACCTATGTAACTGCTGCTGATCCCTGCAACTTCCAACTGAACTCTCAGTCCCATGTTCTGACTTTTATCAACGACAAGAGATGAAGCAGCAGTCTATCCAACCTGGAGAACTGAAGATAGCAGCAAGTGCCATGTTTTTGTATGGAACTTCATTGAAAAATGCAAACAGTTTCATTAGATTAAGTGGTACAGTAGGAAGAAGCAAAAGAAGCCTCAGGCATTGAAAGCACAGTTGCTTAAGCCAGGCTCAATTTACAGTGTCTAACCAGTGACTGAAAATACCTGGCTCTTTGGGATTGATTTCCTGTTACTTCTAACACACCCCACCCCCCCATCCTCTTTAAATAGACTGTGGTGGGGAATATTAATTGCAGCTCTGCTTGGACACTGCCAAGAAAACATGTAAAGTTATACATAGCCCACCATTCTGAGAAGTTCCCAGGTGCTGGAACTGGCTTCTCACCACTGGAGAAGGCCACGTCCCACACCTGTGTCCCAGCACACTGCCAGCTTTTGCTGCATGACCAGTGCTGGGTGGGATGCTCCGCTGCACCCTGGAAACAGTACTGGAGCAGCAAAGATTTTTTCTTAAATAACTTAATGAATTTCAACACACTGAAAATTATTTTCATCTGGGTACTAAAAAAAAGTTTCTCAGTGTTCTTTTGAAATGCTTTTTGATAACTAGAGAGGGAAAACAAAGACTTCAAGTTTTCGTGTATTTTATTTACAGGCCACACAATACATTTTATATACAAATGGCTTAAAATAACAAAGAGTAAGCAAGCTGAAGCATAACAATTTGTTTTAAATTAGGTTGTCTTGAAATAACTCCTGCAATAAAGTATTCTTCACCCTGATAAGCACGTTAATTCAATTTTAAGTCAACCCAAGGTCATTCCATTTTTAAATACAAATTCAAAACAATTTTCTGGCAATTCCTTAATTTCGTGACACACTTCTGCAAATGTAGAACATCCCAAAACTATCAAGAAATAGCTAAAATTTTCTCATGTAAAAAACACAGTAACAGAATAGACTGGGGAGAAATGTTGTATGTAAAACACTTGCGTGTTTTAGTAATGAAAAGAAGAAATCAGGAAGTACATGTGAGATTTTCCTCTCTTGGAAACATGGTCCAAGATCTAATCTGCCTGCAGACAAGAGGTATCCTGTGTTACTTCAGTACTTTAGTTTTTACCACACAATTATCTATTAAACTCTTCCAACTGTAAACTTAACCAAAACTGAAACTGCCTCCTGCAACAAGCAAAAGGAGAAGAGCACTCAGAACTGTAAGAACTTACAACACAGCACTTATTGCCTTTGCTTCTAGAAAGCACCTTACAGTACTGTGGGATGGAGAAAATTTAACATATACCACATCTTATGGAAACATAAGAAAATATAAAGGTTTGCCATTTAAAAATTATTTTCCCAAGAAATTATATTAAAGGATACATGTATTTTTACACCTTTTCCCTAACACTGCTCCTTCTGTTCAGCATAACAACTAGCAATCCATAAAAGCTGTTTCCTTTTCCTTTGGCTGAGTTTAAGAATTATAATAGTCTAAGTGTTTTAAGTCATGGTCATAGCAGTCCAGTTGTGCTCGCTTTCTTCCTCTTGGTATGGCTAAAGACCACTTAATATAAATAATGAAGTACTTCCTACTTGATAGTCCATTATTACAGTATTTCACTATGTTTATTTAGAAATACAAACACACAACACTTACTTTTCGATGTAGTGTCCAGGTCTCTGTAGCACAGAATTGCAGCACAGAAAATATAACCCCAAAGGAATGGGGAGGGACGTAAAAAAAGCCACACCTCCACAGAAAAATAACGCAGTTTTCAGAACGTCTACTATTGCATCAAAAATGCCAGGGCCACATGATGGAAATTGCCAAACTAGCACAGACTCTCTCTGCTGAGTGGAGTTTGCTAAAAAGGTAAAATTCTGTCAAAAGCTCCTCATCATGTGTTTTAATTCAAAAGAAACGCTGACAGGTAATACACGGGTTGGGTGCAAATGATTGTGGACCTACAGTCATTAAATCCCGCCAGTTCACTGGCTGCTAACCTGCCTAGACAACTCCGGGGCCAGGGGAGCGCAGCTGCAGGAGCAATCCTCCCGCCACACCTCCTGAAGGCTGCCCTGGAGAAGCAGGGCAGAGCTCCTCAGCCACGTGCAGCTCACGCGTAGCCTCCACCGGCCCAGGAGGAAAGGCTGCCAGCAAAAGAGCCAGGAAGATCCCCTGGGTCGCAGAGACTGTAATCTCTTCAGAATTATCACATGTGGAAATACATTAACTTTCCCTCCAAATTATCCCAACACTGTTGTCCCAGGCAAATGCAGTGTTCAAAAGTCACAAGCTAATCATCATTAAACTGGGGAAAAGTCATTGTACAGTACCCATCTGCCACAGTGTGCTAGAGTTCTGTTTCTGATTCATCTGGCAGTGAAGTGTCTATTGCATCATCATCTCTCTCCTCATAGTCAGGATTGCTTGTGCTCAGGCCATGTTTCTCATGGCCAAAGACTGAAATCCATTTTGGTGGAACAATGTATCAGAGTATTGCCAGCCCATAAGGAAACTGCACTGTCATTTTACACAGGCAGTGTGTTACTCACTTCTCTGCACTAAATGAGGTGAACTAAACGAGTTAAAAAATTACCTCCAAAAGGGAAGCAGTAGGAGACTGCAAGGAAACATCTTCCTTGCATTTTTTAATTGGAAGGCAATTCATTTAGTCTTCTGAGATCTGTTTTCCATTTGAACTTACCTGCACTTCAGGCCAACTATCACCTGCAGTCACACTGCAGGTGAGTAACCCCAGAGTGCACACTTTCAGGGTAAGTAACTGCCTAAAAGCTTTGAAAGGCCTTTGCTTGATTCTGAAAAAAAAAAAAAAAGGCAGCAAGCTGTGTATCTCTGTGGGACTGGGTTTTTTAAAGATTAGTAAACAAAGAGCCTTAGCTGACACTGTCCATATCTAAACTACACTAATGATTTTTGTCTTTATAATTTCACTAGCAGAAAAATGCTACGAGGGTGTCCTTACTCAAGGAAAACTATCCAATGCACTGTCATTCACGTGAAACTTTTGCTTTTCTTAAGCACAGGCTATTCAGGTCATAAGTATTTGTTTCCGACCTGGCCACTTATATTTTCAGATCCCAGGATTTTTTTTACTGTGTCTAGTGAAGGCAACTGCCAGACTTGTAGGGACACTGTAGGTAGCAGGACGCTCTCTCTGATCCCCATTTGCCAGATCCTCAAACACTACGTAGTTAGCGAAGTGAGTTTCTCCACGCTCCACAGGGTGGGATTTAGCCATATAGGAACCAGGATTTTCAATCAAGACAAAACACCAACAGCTTTGGCTTCTACTCTGAAAATCCAAAAAGTCACTGACAAGACTACGTTTGTAATAGTGTAAGTAGAAATTTTACTTTTTTTTAAAAAGTAATATTTAAACACTCAGTTACATAAGGTACCGATTTGTCAACTGGATAATCAGTTGGAAAATTGTTTCCAATATGGGCTTCAAAACATTCTTTTACGTACAGGCAAAATATAACCATACCTCCTCTCTGCAGGAGAGAGACCACTTGTCAAAGGAAGGAAAAAAACATGCTGGAAGTTGTAATTAGTATGAGGAGTGGCTCTTGATAAGAGTTTTAACTATAATAATTTTATCAGTTGTTCAGAGAGACTCAATTCCAATATTAAAATGTTCCGTGGAATAGCAGATATAAAAATCAATTAATTGGCACAATTACAAGTTTACAGAGAATTAGAACTAATGTCAAACGTTTTGCTGTTGCTTTAAATACTGGTCATTTTTCCTTTGGTTACTTTCTACAATGACGTACTTGTGGTAAAAAGACAAGAATGTCAGCTTTTCACACAAAGTAAAGTAATTACTGCTATTGACATTTAAGAGAAAAAACTATTTTATCACTTGGTAAGGACATATGAAGTAGAGTTTATTTGGCAGAGGAACTAAAACACTTATAACAACTCCAAGAGGGAGCTGAGGAAAAACTACACTCTTCATTCTTCTCCTCACTTTTTATGTTTCTCATGAAGTTCAATTTGGAAATTACGATTTCACCAAGGTAAGATCAGGTCTCTAAGTAACTGGCCCATGTAAAGTAAACAGCACAAGGTTATGACCTATTTGAGTTTCTTATTATTATCTGAATTCTCTTGTTAACTACCTAGGTTTAGGCATTATGTTCATACTGATCTATAAAGTACTTCCAAATTTTTGCAGACCTTAAGCTTACATGTTAAGGCACTTACCATTCAAGTAAAACAGTTTTTATATAAACAAGCCTGGGAGATGGACATTTTACCAGAACATCCATTCTTTTTTTTTCTTGAAAGAAAAAAAAAAAACATTGACCAAATATTTATAAAATTTTGCATCGAGAGAAAGGTTGTGTTTTATTATCTGAAATGAGCACAAAGTACACCTTCCACAATAACACTGAAAGCAGTGCAAAGACTGACAGTGACCTTTGACTAAAGGTAGTTCTGTAAAAAGAAAAATACCAAATAAATCAGTGCCCTGCTTTGATTGTTGTAAAATTTCCTCTTTTTTTACATAAAAGTTGGTCCAAACTTACAAAAAAAGCACAAATGTGCATAGTTCAGAAGATCTGAAAGAGTGCCATAAAAAGCTGATGTCCCTAAATTTAGCATCCACTTAAAACTGCCAAAATACAAAATAAAATTCAGAACTAGAGTTTGTGAACATGTACAATCAATTTATCTAGTTTTCAGACAGCATGAGTTGTAAGCATTTTTTAATTTTTCCTACTGTATGCAAGACCCTTTTCCACATAAAAATAAAGCTGTTGAATTAACATTATTCAAGTCTGTTGAATTGCTGCTTTAAACTGCAGCTAAAGGGGGGGGAAAAAAAAGTTTTTCCAGATAAAAATGGTGTGCCTGAGGAAAAACAGATACTCAATATGGTAATCCTCTGCCTCGCCCTCTCACTGCAGATGTGCTAATGTGTCCCCTGTATCCTTGAGAATAGCCAGGTCCTTGGGCAGGAGAAGTCCAAGTCTGTCCATGCATGTGGCTGATGCCACTGGGGTTTTCCTGCAAATTACTTCCATAGCTATAGTTGTGCATCTTTGAGGGCAAAGAGTGCGTACTCTCTGGCCCTGTGGAGGCATCACTGCTGCTCCCCAAAACTGGGATTGGGCCGTGGCTGTATTCAAACCTATGGTCTTTATCTCCACTAAATAGCATGGGGCCAGTGTTGAGGTAAATGTCTCCATAACCAGTTACTGAGCTGGGAAAGGATTCTGAAAAGGCTGATGGAGGAGGGGCAGCACCAGAGTGAGATGAAGCAGTACTGTAGTTATCCAAAGACTGAATATCTGAGTTTCCAAGGAAACTCCTCCTTTCTAATACTCCTGATGATCCACTTCCTATTCCATCGCTACTGCTGTAACAGGCAGATGAAAAAGACGATGATCCAAAGTTATCCTTGTAGTCTGGGCCTGTAACATAGGAGTCTCTAGCCTGATAATCCACACTCGTTTGTACTGGCTCCTCTGTTGTCGCCTGAGCTTGATGCTGAGCAAGCAGCTGCAGAAGAGCTGCTTTCACTCCTGCATGAGGATCTGTTCCTGAAGAGTTAGTTATAGGCAAATGCTGATTCTCTGTCCGATAATCAAGGTCTTCATCAGTGAGAGGCGGAGGCTCTGGTGGCTCGGGGGGACGCTGATCTGGAGGCAGGATCCGAGGGCGCTCCTGTTCGGGGGTTCGGTTTAGAAGCCTCATCTCAGACTGCCTAACCAAATCCTCTTGACCTATGAAGATGAAAAAGAAAAGCTTTGGAATAAAAACACACAGTAACAGTATCAGAAAGGAAAGGACTTTCCTGCAAAAACAGAGGTTTGTTACTTCAATTCCCATTAACTTATTAGTTAAATTTATCAGTAGTTATACAAATTATTTTGGAGAACAAAATTTGGCAACAGCTCATTTGCCTCAGGAGCATGATGCAGATTTCTCCTTCAAGTAAGATTACCAGCAAGCAGTTAAAGAAAAATAGTAAGAGTTCCCTAAAAACACCCCACCAAAACCAAATAACCGAAACGAAACTCAAGCAACATGTAAACACTAGAAAATTCAAAGAGGGATCAGGAAAGATTCACAAATAGGATAAAAGTCTCAAGGGACAAAAGGCCACCCTATCAAGGAACAGCAAAGCTCTAGGTTTAAAAAAAATCATGAACAAAAAAGCATACCACTCAAAAAAAAAAAAAACCAAAAACCAAAAACCCTCAGAAAAGAGTCCCAAAGCACTTTAGAATATTTCTTTCAACAGCTGCAAACCACAAAGCAATACATACACCACCATATAACAGAAACTGAAATAGCAATCCAAAAAGATGAACAGAGCTCTAAACAGTGAGAAGGGTATGGAAGCCTCGACTGTACTCCAATGGAAACCTTTACCCATGTGTGCAACAGTTGCAAATAGCCACTTATAGAATTTGACAGTAAGCAATTGCTCTAGTCAGCATTGAAACCCCAAAATAAAATATCCTCTCATCAAAATATGCTTTACCTAAACACACAGTCAAAACTGGCAAATTCCATTCATGCATCTGCTAGAGAAGACTGTCTTCTCTACCACACACACCACTAAGAAAACCCCAGCCCCCCAGAATTTCATCACTAATACTTGTGTACCTCTTAGCGTGGGGAACATTGTTTGCTCTGTCTGCATGGTACCTGTTACGCTAAGACACAAATTCTATGATCCAGACATAAAACGTGACAAAATCAATTTTATCTCCAATACTCACACAGATTCATATGGCAAACGTGTTAATTCTCTACCCCAAACTATTACACCTCCAGTGCTTAAAGTATTTGCTGGTTAGGAATAAAGGCCTTCAGTACCTGCAGACATATATAATGATTTGATCAGATGTGGGTAGCCAGGTGCTGGAGATTCCACGTCGTCCCGGCTGACAGATGCAGGAGTGGAGGGCTCTGGAGGCTGCCTGAGTTGTAATGACATTTCATTTCCTGATCCGTTTTCCTTCTCCTCCAACACAAAATCTTTTTGTTTTGTTTGCTGAGCCTTTATTAACTGAGACAACAGAACAGCAAATGCACTCTGCACAGCTGCCTGGGCAGCATCAGTCTCAACTTTAGGTTGGCCCAGCTGCGCAGGTGGCACAGGAGGCTGGGTGACGATCTGCTGTTTTAGAGGCTCCTGCTCTGGCGGGGGTGGCGGAGGCGGCGGCGGCTGCTGCTGCTGCTGCTGTTCTGACTGTTTTTCACCTGCTGACAAAATTCCAGCAGGAAGATTTATTTTATTTAGTTGCTGCTGAGTCTCTGGGTTTACCTTAATATTCAATACTTGGGCAAACTGTGCCAAACTAACACTTGTTTTAGACTGTAGCAGGTTTAGCAGGATTGCCACTTCATTCTGGTTTAACTGCTGTCCAGTGCTTGTTTTCGCTAAAGACAAAAAAGGTGTTTTTAAGTATTATTTAGAACTTGCATAATTCAGAAACTCAAAAGAAGACTAATCTAGCATAGCTGACACAACAGGCAAAGCATGGGTTTGGACAACATAGAAATGGAATGCTTTTACACATTAACTGCCTTTGAGGGAGTATCTAGAGGAAATGGAATAGTAAGATCCAATATAAAGAAACTGACTTCCATGAGGTGCACACATGCACTTGGACAGATGGAAAAACATCAAGCTGGAGCTCAATTTTCTACAATACAACTAAGCTGGGGCCTAAGGCCACTTGCTTCAGGCAGCTGCAAGATATCCAATCCCCATAAAATTTCCTATCTTTGACATATCACATCCCTTTAAAGAGTAGCCATCTGCAAAATGCATTTCCAGTCATATTCTGGCCCATTCTAATTCAGCATCTGGGTTCTAAGACCTGCACAAGCGACCAGGATCTAGATGGCCCAGGAGCTCAGGGTATAAATGCAAAAGCAAGTGCTGAGCTTTAAGGACGAGAAGTCCATCACTTAGTACCAAGAAATATATAATGAATAGAGTTTCTTCATTTAAATGGAGTTTGACACAAATAAGAGGAGATTATGATGATGCAGGGGAACATGAATAAGGAGGTTGGGATATCAAAGCAGTTTCTTAGCTTCAAACACCTGTTGTGGTGGTTTATTTTGAAAGAAGTGAAGCAGCATAGATTTAAACAATAAAGTATTATCGAAATGACCATTTTCTATATATCTTGGCACAGATTATTTGGACCTCTGCTCTACCATTAAATTAAGAGTTGATTCAAGATGGTTAGTATTAAAGAATTTTCAGGTACTATGAATGCATTAACTGCTTGTTTTTCAGCTGAACTCCTGTATCAATGCCATAGGATTTATGGTCACTTTGCACAGTCAAAAATGGTCTAAATTAATCTTGTCAGGTATCCATTTGGTGTTGTTACTCTGTATATTTCTACACAGCATAAGAGAACTATCACTAAACTGCTGACTACCTCAAATGGAGTCCATATAGTCCATTACTTTTCTCTTCTTATTATATTCATAAAACTGGTCTCAAGCAAGATACTCTGGTTAAGTTTCAGAATTAATGGCTGTGCAATCTACAGAGGTAGATACTGCATGGCTTATGAGGTTCTGGGGGTGGTTTTTGGTGTTTATTTTTTTTACAACTTGGTTCAGCCCCAACAACCTGGAAAGCTGAAGACTATCATAACATGCAGATGGATTCTGTTCCATTTGAAATGATGACTGTTCTAAACTCTGCCTTCTGATCCATTTATCAATACCAATAACACTTCTCCAATCTATGGAGATTGTGAGGAACTTTGAACAGCTACTGGCTTGTGGAATCACAAAAGAATTACAGATGAGCAAGAGCTAAAATTCTCTCAAAATACAGAGCAAGCAAGGTAGTTGCTCTGACCAGACTGAAAAATTAGGTAAAACTGAAAAGTTTCCAAAAGCAAAGGTAAATCTTTTGTAACAAAGATTTAACTTACAACACTGTTACTCCCTCAAGAATCCAGGAGACGTCAATACTCTGCAAATAACATCTAAAATTTTTAGAGGTGCAATCCAAGTAGAAGGTAATTATAAGAACTGAAAATATTACTGACCAAGTGCTACACTAGAGTTGCCCTGAGTTTTGAGTTGGGAAGAAGTTTGCATGCCTTGTGGGGTGTTGGTTCTGCTCTCATCCATGCCTAGGGATAGATCCTTCCTAGGGACTTTAGCTGCTGTTGAGTCATCAGTCATGCCCATCTGCTTCTGTCTTCTGCGTTTCTTACTCCACAGCTCATGGCAATCTTGCCACAAAGGAAGGCTGCAAAGAATGATTAGAGATAATCAGTTTTATCCCAGAACTATTTTTATTTTTTTAATCATACTGGTAAAATAAATATTTGAGTTATACATAATGTAACTTCTGAAAGATGAACATACTAGAACTCAGATATACATCAGAAAACACTCAAAAGCCAGCAAAATCTCAGACCTGCTTTTTCTGGCTGAAATCTCTTCATTGATTGCCTATTTCAGAAGCACAGGTCCTTCTAGCAGAAAAGGGGAACACGTATCTTACAATGAGAATGATATTTTCTTGAACTCCTACTTAAGAAAAGCCTAATTATATGTGTAATTCAAGACTTCAAAATCGATGCTGCACACTTGCTATGAAATACAATTCACATAGTAACAGATGACAAAGTTATCAATATGCAAGTGGTTTTTTCAAGGTCCTTCTGTCCACTGGTAAAAGTACTGCTGTCTCATTAGGTCAAATATTTGTCCACAATAACAGAGATGGCAATGTAGTATTTATAGTCTACAGCACAGCCGGCCAAAAAACACAGGGGAAAAAAAAAGAAAAACGTTGCAGAAATAAGTTGCATGAATAAATAGCACTTAACACTAGCAAAACTGAGATACTAGGAAGAACAAGGGATGTCTCGATCCTTTAAGACAGACACATGCAGAGACAAAAGTCTCCTAAGGAACTCATCGGCCACTAATTCTGTCCTTCCATTACAGTTTCCTGCAGGCAGCTCAATTTTGATTTCCTATGGAACACGAAGACCCATCCATAAATAACAGACATACTGAGACAGGCAGTAAAAACAGTGTTTTATGTTTTCCTATTACATATTAGTAACTGTCTTAGCTGTTCTGTCACCCAGGAACATAGAAAAATTAGGTGACAGATGACAAGAGACACTGGAAAGGCAACTATGACAACTGCTTTACTCGCTCTCTCCACACAGCAGGTCAAAGACCTGCCAAGTATTTTCTGAAAAACAAATGGAAGCAAGCAAGAACTCATTGCGAGAAGTATCCTACCATCCCTGCAATCAGCGCTGTCACTTTCTTTGAATGAACAGCTGCTTCTTCCCAAAAGAGAACTTCAGTCTTTCAAGAGAACAGTCAACACTTTCCTGTGCACGCTGTCAGAAGTGACTGTAGTTCTTCTTAATTTTTAAAAGGACACCAATGACTAGTTTGTTTTGAATTACCATATATCAGCTTCTAGAATGGATGCATTACCACATCCCTGAAGAATAAAAATTCTTCCCATTCACTTACTTTAAAATGCACATAAAGCAACATTCTGTACAAGTGGTTCTGAGACTCAGCAAACAGCCTAAGATGGCTAATTTCTGATTTTCACACAGTGATATAGTCATATTCAGGCAATGAAACCTCTTAGCATCACGTTTCAGGAGCATTAGTAGCATTTGCCCAGAGAGGCTGTGAAGTCTCACTGGAGATATTCAAGAACCACCTGGACATAATTCTGTGTTCTAGGATGACTCTGCTTGAGCAGGGAGGTTGGACCATATGACCCACTATGATCCCTTCCAACCTTACCCATTCTATGATTCTGTGTAACAACCATGTGTATGTAACAGGTAAGTCTTGAAAGAGTTTTAATAAAATCCTTAGATAAAATGCAAACGTTTTTTCCAGTTGGTAACTAATTAAAAAGAAATCAGTACAGGCTGCCTTGAAGGTTCAATTTACTCAAACAATAGTGAACGTTCTATGTTCTGACAGCTATCTTGAGGAAAGAATTGAGACCTGCAGATTCTGTAATACATCCTCATTGTTTTCCTCAGGGCCTGTTTCAGTAAGATTTGTACTGATTAAAATGATGATTAGGTCACTGCCAAAATCCTACTGGACACTGCAGTACATTGCCCTCAGAGAAACTGACAGGAAAAATCCTGCACAAAGTATTTCATTTTTCCTGCCTGTGAAACCAAGAATCTGGCTTAGGAAACAATTTATGGTATTTCACTTTAACTCTCAGGTACCTTTGTAGAATTCTATACCCAGTGTCATTCTACCATCAAAGAAGGCAATTCAGATTCATGGAGGACTTCAAAACCCTTGGAAAAAGTAGACACCGATAAACAGAGATAAAAGGGGAATGATGTTTTCTAAACATTAGAAACATTCACAGAAGAGTATTTTCTTTAAAGGAAGTAACTCAGTAACTAGTTCTAAGAATGACAAATGAAACTTCTCAGATGCCCACAAGCACAGCTATCACAGTGTAAGAGTCACTCAGCAGCACAACCATTCTACTGCAGAATCACCATTCAACAACTGTATATACCAATGTTTTTGTTCTGTCACCATCTAATTTAACTGAAACATAATAAGCTTAATGAAATCAGTGCACATTCCCATTCCATAGAGGCAAGGACCATTACCAGTGCAAATGACTTACTCTGGAGGAGGCATTTTAGATGGTTCCACATCTCGCAGAAATTCACACTGAAGAGCCTGTTCAGCTGTGCAGCGTTTGCTGGGATCCAGAGCAAGCATATAATCGAATAAATCTAATGCAGCTGGTGGGATGCTACAAAAGTGCAAAATGGAGAAAAGCATTGTATTTTTACTTTGTATCATACACTTCCGCACAAAATTACAAGAAACACATCCCTTCCAAGATAACTGATCATTAACTCCTCAAATAACTTACATATTAACAAAATCCACTCACAACCTGAGCATGGTAGCAAGAAGCAGAAATAAACTTCGCCTTTTACTACCTGTGTAACCATATAACCATATAACATAAGCTTTCTTTGCTTTGTGTTGTTTAATTGTTTAAACGTTGTCCTTACATAAAAACACCCCAAAGCTTTTAAGCCAAGACTGTGTTACTGTCCACTTTGGAATTTAGCACCCAAGGAGTTGCACTTCTGATTGGTCCACGGATAATAATTTTATTGCTTTAAAGATATTAGTTTCATTAGTATGAACAGATGATGCATTTCTCCAGAAACCCACAGTACCTGAAGGAGGGGAACAAACCCTTTAAAACAAGCTTACAGCTGTTTTCCATAACTTTCACTTGTGATATTTGCACAAAACTAGTCCAGTGGTAGTACTTTAGAACATATAGTTCAGATAACTTCTCTGTGTTGAATGATTTATGACCCAAAAGACTGTAATGTTAACCAGATCGCATATTCAGCTGTAGCCAGTTATACTAATAAATAACAATCAAGTTTTTTGGACAGGGCAACAAGCAGGTGTACCAATCATGGAAAACAAATGTTTCCTTAGGTGAAAGCTGACAGGTGCCTGAAATTTTAGGGCCTTCTTTTCTCTTCTTCGAGTTCCTATTAAATAAGGGTTAATACAAGCTCTGTGGGTATCATGGGAAGGACAAGAACCTAAAGACATTTTTGCTTTACACTTAATCTATGCTCATTCTCTGGAAAATACTCCATAAAGTCTCCAGGAAAACTTAATGCTATTACAGTTGGCTAAATTAATTCTTCATCCTTACAAAGCAAACTCTTCTCTCAGTTTTCGACGATACTGCTTCTTTGGTTTCATTGTGTTGAAATAAGCTAATTTTATAACATCAGGCCACACTGCTGGACAAGGACTCCCGCAAATTCGGCTGTACCAAAAAGAAGGGAAAAAAGGGTATGAGATCCAAACCCACAAATGAACACAGCTGTCATTTTATTCTTGCATGTACAGTGAAAACCAAAATAATTTCCAATTTTAATGCTCAGGTTATTTTTAGCTAAAATTTCTCTACTGTCAAATGCTTAACACATTAAATAATGGAGAACTGTCTACAAAGGGTAATCACCCCGCCCAAACTAAACTTACTGTTTCTGCCTCAGCCCAGCCCACACATCCTTCACTATGTCTGAACAGGACTCTGTGTATTTGACTTGAACTGGATAACCCATGGTTCGAATAACTTTTATGTCCTTAGCTCCCAATGCCACAGATGATATACCAAATGGCTGAAAACCCACTTTTCACTGAGAATTTATTTAACACTGAACACATAAAGGGAAAAAAAAAATCTCAGTAAGGCCTCAAGGCAGAAGCAAGATTTGACCACTAGAAAACATCTGTATTTTTTACTTCAGTTATGAGTTTTATGTGTCAAGCCTCATTTATCTCCACAAACAGAGTTGCCCACAGTCTTACTCTTACCGCTCCATCCCCACCCATTTTATCCAACAAAGGATGGCTAAGCACAGATTGATCAACATCACACTTCTGAGCAGAAGAACTAAGGCGGCATTTTCATACACTCAAGGCTTTAAACTCTGATGCAGGCAATCGTAAAAGGACATTTTGCAAATACATTTCCCTAGTTCAGCCCTCCTATTTATCAGATTTAAACCGTTAGAGAACTGATGATCTATTAGACACGCCTCAAATGCTATGCAAACCAATCTGACTTTACACTGTTTGGGGTATGTAATTTTCAGGAGGGAAAAGAAAAATAACACATCTATCTCTTCCTATGAAATTTTACTTCAGCTCTACCTTTGAACATCAAAGTAAATGCATAGCAGCAATAAAGAGGAAAAATGCAGATGCTTCCAGCAGAAGGGAACCACAAAGTTTTAGTTTTCTGTACCAGAGGTACAACACAAAGAAAAAACCCCCTCAAATGACTCATTGTAACATTCTTCAATGCCATCTAGTGCTCAAAAGCAAAATTTCCCCAAGTTAGGAGTTTAACTCTCCTTACACCGAAAATGACCACTGATATGCTCTGCACCTCCTAAAAAACTTAATTTGTCCAGGCTGGCTAATAACACTTTACACAGAAACATGCTACTGTTCAATCTGTTTTGAAAAACATTTCAATATATAACTTTGTAATATTTTTTATTAAGTTAATTTTTAAAATAATGTGGAACATTTACTGTTCAGGTTCTGTAAGTTCCGTAGAACTTTTCCCCTTGTTTCTAGGAAAAAGACCTCTCCCTGTTTATAAGATCAATTATGATATCAGAATCGAGCAATTTTTACTTGCTGAAAGAAGGGAAAGAAAAAAGATGCTCTGGTTCCACTGAGTTAAATACCTATCATTCTGTGATTTATTGAGAACAAGGAAAGGAACAAAATTTTTACCTCCATCAAGTGTTTGTAAGGGAACAGAAATATTTCCACAAAAATAATAAAGCCCAGGTGCGTATGTGGTAGGCTTGAAACAAGAACTCAAGGCCAGCAGCATGCCAAGTACCTACTCCTCTCAAATACCACTTGTCCTTATTATTGTCCATGTTCTTATTTTGATTTGCTGCAAGGAAGTTGCAACATCATCTTAAAAAATAATGGGCATTTTGATTACTCTCTCTTTACAATTTCAGTAACAGGCAATTCCAGCCGTTCTACAAAAAACCCTCTTACTAATCAACTGTACATTGCTAGGAGCATAGAATACTCACAAAAAAAACCCTTTCTCCACGTCTGTGCAAAAGCCATTTGCTTTACACACCCTTCAGAACCTCTAACATCTCACTCAGGGCAATAACTTGAGTACTGGAGAACACTCACAGTGCATTATCTCCGATTTTAACACCAACAAAAGAAACCTGTCAGTTTATGAGGCACCTACTATGAGTCAGTGCTTGCAAGTTACCTTATAAGTTCCAGCTGTGCAAGTTCTTGATTTGCTTGAAATATTGGCTTTTTTGTAAAAAGTTCACCCAGGATGCAGCTGTAAAACAGTTTTGCATAATTCCATCATTATGGCTTTTAATATAGATTGATAGAAACATTTAAGATCTATTTTTGGCTTGTTTTTGTCCTTGCTACACTTCTGTCCAAACTCTTACCCACAGCTCCAAACATCGATAGCTGGTGTGTATCTTTCTTCTCCAAGCAGAAGTTCAGGGGGCCGATACCATAACGTAATAACTTTGTTGGTATATGGTCGGCTGTTGGGGGGAGGAAAAAGAGAGAACTATCATTTTACTACCATCTCACCTCTGAAAAAGTGATACCTTAAGGACTTTGTGATGCTGTACAATCTTCCACTCTTAATTTTAGTCCTGCAAAACAGTAACTGCACAAAGGCAAATGCAACTGTTTGACCAAGGCTATCAAAGGCCAGATTGAAAATATAAGTAATAACCACACAGCCATCTCGATGCTATGTGAATCCTGTATCTCAATTACTATTCAGAGAGCAACACTATATTTACACTGCTAGTCAGGACCAGGACTACATGCTTGGATAAAACCAATAATTTCCAGGCAAATATTGATTATTAGCATACTGAATATAAGACCTCTACAAACATTTTAAAAAGAAGAAAAAAGTCACTTTCCCCTCTTTAAGTAGGAGCAAAAGAGATACAAAGCCTTTTTCTGGAACTATATCCTTCAACAATTTTGATTCCAAAGCCTGGAATGCTTCCAATATCTTCCTATATTTCACAACATCTTTAATTCTCTACAGCTCTAACCAGAAGTTCCGGTCACTGGGAATAATCCTTTCTACCCTCCCACTAAAGGAAGGGTTTCCACTATCTTAGACACACATTTTTTATGTGCACAGGCTGAGATACAGTATCAACAGTCCAGAATGGAAAGCAGAAAACAGATGTTCAATTTTAGGTTTTGTTTCAGCAAGGGTGTTTTAAAAGTGAACCCAGAATTCTTTCAGTTTTAATAATTCACTCTTACTAACATCAAGTAACTCCAAACAGAAAGCACAGTAATATTAATTGTGGAGTATGAACGACCATAGAAGAAAGTCCAACAAGCTCTTACAACATACTCAGTCATACAGGTATCATTTCTCCAAAATCATCTGAGTATTTTTTTCATTAACAAACTCCACAATTCATTTTAAAAATGTAGCATGTTTTTGGAAACAATCCCATCATTTATCATATTTATCTCTGAAGCAAGCATTCCTCTATGAAATGTTTACATGGTATGGACTTTCTCTACAGACACACTGCTCATATATATTAGTATATGGTGCTCTTTATTTGAACAGATGTCTTCTCATGCAATCTGTCGTATCTCCTACTCCAAACATGTTTAATTCCACCAGAATAACACTTAAAGGAGCACAACTACAACAACCAATGGGAATTTATTTAAATTTTTATTTCCTCCCTGTTATGCTACTACTAAATTCTGTACCCTTTTAAACAGTATTAAATTCCAAACAATAGGAAACCAAATGCAAAATACATGAATTTAAAGTAGCAGCTATTATACACTTGTTGGTATACATTAATTATGTCTGTTACTGCAGGTCAGAAACTACTTAGGAGGGAAATGAATTACAAAAGAATTGTCAAAAATCTACTAATGAAATTCTAGTTATCCTCCCAAGTTCAACTGGCAATTCTATTAGCTAGCTTAATTACATTTTAATCTTGGTTTCATTTATGCGTAATGGTGTAATATTGTTGTTTGATGCACAGTAAAACCTGTTATTTGCACTATAAAGATGCTGAATTTTCAAATCCTAATTATCAGCGAGTTTTACAAGCAAAATGTAAATTCATTTAAAAACAGACATTAAAAAAAACAAAACATAGTAAACCAAAGGAAAAAAACCAAACCATTAGGTCAATTTGGTGCATGTTAAAACAAGAAGATAGGATAACATCAAACCTTTTATTATAAGTACATCCAAACTCAAAAATAATTAGGCAGCAACTGTTTAAGATGATCGTACCCTGCTCCTATACTGAACAGTTTTCATAACTGTACTTAAGCATATTTTCCTGAAATGACAGCTCAGAATACAGTGAAACTAAGGCTATCAGGTTCATGAACAAGCCAAGAGCTCTGTGAGAAAACAATAAACCCATAAAGCTAACATAATTGATATTATTTCCCAAATTAGCATGCAGAAATCAAAGCAAGCTGAGGTATCCAACCACCTCATGTACATACTAGTGTAGTGAACATTCAGCTTGAATTTTGAAAACTCAGTTCCACATGAGAAATACATTACAAAGTAAATACAGAAGTTCTTAATCATAAGAAACTGTGCACCTGTTTCCTGGAGTATGAGTATAATGAAGCCAAGCACAACAGAAGCACAAGTCACAGGAAGTTTCAGGATAACTTTTATTTAAACTTGTATCTCTGTTTCCAGCAGATTCAACGTCACTGACTGCCTAAGGAGTACAATGAACCTCTTCAAATGTAAGGTTACATCTCACACAAAAGTAATGCTCATTGAATAGGGAACAGTATTACTACTTTGTGCCAGCAAAAAAAAAAATTTGCTTTCCCTAAATAAAGTCTTCAGTATATCAACAGAAAAAATATACTTTAGGTTTACAGGACCAGAAACCTAGGACTGTAACTCTTAATTTCCAATCAATATATGACCACTCTCTGCAGTTATTTATCCAGAACACCTGGAAAAGCAATACACTTGCAAAAAGACTTTTGTGGTTTTATGCAGTGCAAGACAACGTGCACTTCTTTAAATTTCCTAAGCTATTACAATACAATAAGATTTCCTCTAAACAAAACAGTCTTCTGGCGCCCATAGTAGAGTTATGCAGAAAGATTAAACTTCTGAATTCTTTTTCACAGTGTAATTGTATCTTACCTTTCTTCAGAGTTGTACAGCCGAGCAAGCCCAAAATCCGCAAGCTTTATCTGCCCTCTGGTGGAAAAAGCAAAGAATTATTTAGTGGTTAATCCTGTTGAGATTTCCTCCCCCAAATCAGGTAAAGTTTAAGACTGCAAGTGATCTTCACCAAACCACATTAACAAAGAGGCAATGCCTTGCAATCTGTGCGTTTCTTCAGTAAACAAATACACTAACACACTGAATAGCAAAGACAAGTAAGCAAAATTAGGTATGCTCATCAAATGGCATTTACATCACTGAATGTTAGTAAAAATTTAGGTGTATTCCAGTCAGTAAATCTGCAGAAAAAAAACAGAGGGAGGAAACTGCTATTTTCTCATGGCTTACTGCTATGCTAGCATGAGCATTTGTACAACATGAGCATTTGTAGGTCCTTCTAGGAAGCCATAAAGTCCTGTTCTGCTCTTGTACAGTTTAAATACAGCCATAAAATCAGGGTGACTGACAAGATAAGGGCTTCTATTTTTGCCAACAGCCAACCTGCTGAATGACACAACCCCTAACCCATTCCTGAGTTTTCCCATATACGAGGGGAAGGGTAGAAGATACAGAGCTCTTGCCTGGCAGTTCCCACAGCTAAAAGGCACTGCTCAATGACCAGAACCCCCCTGCAAAGTCTGGGTGATTTAAACAGAAAGCTATCTGCGAGCTTCTCTAATACATTCTAAATGAATGTTGGACTGTTATACTTGAGTTTGCTTTTCAATACTGATGAGTTTTTATAATTCCCATTACTTCCAAATACATATTATTTTATCAAATTAGGGTAAGACTTGCTGACGTGCATAAGAATGACAATTTTGGGATAATAAAATATACATTACAGTTTCCATCCACCTTTTTCCTCAGATGTATACTCAGATTTGCTGTAACACTTGAAGAACCCCCATAAACAAAGAAATGTTCCCCTCAAATATATATGCTTATTCCTCAGAGAAGCTATTTGTGGAAGATGAATGTCTTTGCTCAAAAATTTGTTGAAGTTGCATATCTAAAAAATACATAATCCACGTGTTTGGCTTCAGGCTGTAACTAGTAATGCAATTTTAGAAACACTGGCTTAAAATTATTCAGATCAACTATTGAATTTTGTTTCTACCAGTGGAAAAATCTAAAGATGCTCAGAAAATATCCTCAGGGGAAAAAAACCCAAAACTCTGTATCCTGGACTGGAGGGAGCACAGTACAATACCAAGCTCCTCCTCTAACATAATTCACTCTTCTCCACTGTCAGGTTACACCTCAGCTTCTGAGTTCCCAAAGGTGCACAAACCCTGGAGATTAGCAGGCAATAAGATTAGGTGTACAGGCACAATGAGTGATGGGGAGGAACATGTACATCTGTTCAAAAGTCTGTATCATAATCTGGCAAGACTGTGCTAAAATCCAGAGTTGAAAATAATCTAATATTAGTCTGTTCTATGGGAAAAAGGAGGGGAAAATGGAAAATTTAATTTGGAGAAAGCTGGGAAAAAACTAGGGTCCTACCAAAAGAGATCCATTTTGCCCAGTATTTCATCTCCAACAGCAGCAGTATATTTTTAGGGAGAACACATGAACCCACTCCCTTTAGGGCTCATCTTCTTTTTACTTAACCACCACCCACAATCATTGTGCTAAGGATGGTAAAACAGGTCCCTGTCCATTCTTATTACCAGGTCCTAATGATCCTATCCCTTGAATGTGTCTCATCTTTTTGAAACTCCTGACACTACCCAGAAAACCTCCTGTGACAACAAATCCCAGAAGCTGACTGACTACCTGCTCTGTAACGACACTCTTTTTTGCTCTTATAAACCTTGGTCTTATAGTTGCTTCCTGGATTTAGTACTGCAGGGTTTGATGTACAACAGTTTGTAAAAAAGTTGTCCACTACCTTCACACCGGCCTTTTATTTGCTGCTGCTGCACACCAAAAGCAGCAAGGTTAGTAATAAGATTTGTAATTACAAGGTGTTAAAGTAGTAAGAAACAAATCCTTCTCCCCATTTGATTGTAGTTACAATTGTAAACCCAAGGTACATTTGAACACGCCTGACTGAATACTTTTTAAAGCATTATCCTGACTGATGAAGATGAGGACCTCAGAATTATGTCACAAAGACCCAGCCACATTTCCATCTTGAAACGAGATGGCAAAAAGAATACATATCAAATGCTTCTGTCTTACAATTCTATTTTAATATATTTGAACTCAGATAATTTTCCCCCAATACTCTGATTTAAAAGACTCAAGTTTCAATCCTGCTATTTTAACACATATAAATTTAACACATAGTTGCAGGACCCAGTGTTAAAGCAGGAACATTACCGTATTAGTATTTTGCAATTGACTTGGAAGAAACTAGGAAATCTAAAAAATAAGTTTTGCCAATGACTCAAAGCAGGTGAACTCTGAAGATTAAAAGAAGGACTTAAAGATGTTAACAGACAATTTTTGTTATAGACTTTTAAGTAATATCCATACCTATTATTTAGAAGAATATTTGAACATTTGATATCTCTGTGCAAAAAGTTCTTCTTGTGGCAATACGCCAAGCCCTCCATCAGCTGTCTCATAAAAGATTTAATATGATTTTCATTAAAATGAACCAAACCAGATTCTAGCAGTCCCATCAAGTCATGGTCCATATATTCAAATACCAGGTAAAATGCACCTAGAAAAAGAAAGAGAAAGGGTACGAGAAACAGAGATAAAAACTGATTTAACAGCAGTCCAAAGCATTGTTGTTGCCTCCTTTTTAAAATCAGAAGTATTTTTCATGCAACTGCTCACATTTTCTTCAGTATTTATAGCTGTACCTCATGCCCAATAACAGCAGTTAAATATAGTGCAGTAAAATGTTTTCATAAAACTGCTTTTCCATGTAAACAATTGTACTAGTGAAATGTTTGTGAAAACAAATATAATGCTACCTATGGTGCTTTAATCTAGATAGACACGTACTCTCCCTATAGCTCTCAACCTCCATACATTTTATTGGAAGAAAACTGTGTTAATATTCCCTATATAAAGTTTGGGGAGAAATACAGAAACAAAATATGTACAAGCATTATTAGTTCATCTGTCATGATTCAGTGACTGATTTTTTAAAAAGATTTCTGTGTAATTGGGTCAGAAACAAGTTTGCCCTTCTCAGACTAAAAATACCTATAAGACAGGACAAAATGAGAAAGCAGAACTAAGCTATTAGTAACAACAGCTCTGCAAAGATGGAGTTCATATTTCAAGTCGCCACATAGATACATTAAGCACAAGAGAATCTGGTCTTATCTCACATCAGCATATGTAATTCCACAAATAAAGCTATTAAAGCCAAGGCTCTTTGATACATATAAGTACTCTTAAAGAGGAAAAGTGCTGACTGCTTCAGAAGCAGCAACAACCAATCTCCAGTACAACCACTCCCAGCACAATCTACATTTTAGTACTTCGTTCTTTCCCTTCTGAACTCTGGGACAGACAGGACAGTGAAGTTGCTGCAGAGCACTGGTGGCAGTGGAGAAACCACATTCAAGAGGGTCCGTCTATCTTTGCATTTTGAAAAACCTCCTCTCAAAGCCACTACTTCAAATACCTTCTGCCCAACAAGTACTCATTACAGGTTCTCACTCCTAAATAAGAAGTTTCAACTCAGAAACTGGTGAAAGTCTTGGAGCAATAACAAGAAGTCAGCTTGACAGAACACACGGCCTCATTCTAATGAACTGACTTGTTTTCTTGTATAGTAGCTGAAAAAGGAAGAAAGAATGCTAAGTCCATCTGCTATTTAACAAGCAGGAAAAAGATTACTCATGCAGTAAGTGTTTAACTTGTAATAAAGATCAGCAAAGATCAGCTAAACCACAGGATACTGCATAAGACACTCAAGAGTTCATTGTTTTTAATTTAGGTACTTTTGTCCTGCTGTATGTGATACAGAGGAAGTAAAATACTCATCATAAAATACAATAAAATACCCCTGTACAGAGGAGGTGAATCAAGCAGGTACAACAAAACCCCATCACTCCAAAAGGAGAGAAGGAAGTACTAAGAGCCATGAATAACCAAAAGTCTGCTGTGTTACTAACTGCATAACTGAGTTCACCAAGGCAGTTCACCAGTTCAGCATGGAAAAGCACAGAGGCTCCTAATCTTAGTCTTTTCAAACAAGATAGCAATCTGCTGCTAGCTCTACTTCAGTGACAACTGCTGAAGTATGAACCATGACATATTTTAAAATGCTTTGAAATAAACACTTGATATTAATGCTGCAGCGTCACAATAACCTAGATATGCCCTTCAGAGGATGTCACCTCAAAAAAACTGAATACCAGTGAATCTTGGTATCTTCTTGCTCTGGAATACAAGGGAAAGTTAATTCTGTCATGGCAGCTGGCTGCATGTGTGTACATGACAAGGAGAAAGACTGACTGCAGACCTGTTCAGTGAGAACAGCTGAACAGAGTCCTCTTATTTATATGCAAAGTAGGCTCCATGCCTTAAGCATGCTCTGCTCTGTCACTAGCTCCCAGGATTTTTTCACTGCTATTTATAACCAGCAATCACAACTGGTACCCTCATTCAAGAAGGAAAGCTGACAACAATGGAGACAATTCATAAATAAAGCAGAGTAGTACCTGGGAGACGACATACGGTTATTTATATTCTCTGCAACTCTCATTAAGAAACATACACTAGAACAGTAAAAATGCTAAATGTTCTTTCCATATAAGATCAAGAGGAAATTCACAGATCCATTACACTTGTGCATTACTACCTGTTTCCTACCCACATGCTAGACAATATTAGGATTTGATTTAAAAAGAAAAACTTAAAGTTGAATCTTCTATATTCACTCTGAGAAACTATTAAAATTAGTCTAACTTTTGCAATCTAACCATTAAAACCTGATTACTAGTATGACTCAAGCTATATTTGGAAGTGACTGTAGCTACAAAAAAGTTATCAAGCAAACTGAAATTAAACTCCTGTTAGATCATTCCTAGACAAATACAGTCCCCTTTTCTGACAGAGATCTACAGTTTCTGTCAAGAGAATAGTTAAGTTATTCCATCTGATAATTTCAAATCTCCATTGCTTTTCATCAGATTGGGGGATCTGATCCTTTTTAATAGGAAAAGAAGCTATAGTTAGTTATTCAGGAAGAAGAAACAGTCCTTGAAGACTTCACAAGTGAATAGTGCACAGGCAGAAGCACGCTTACTACAACTTAGTCGGAGTTCAAGTTTACAGCATACTTTAGTTCTATCAAAACAAATGCCACGTAAATATCCATTTCTCAAAAAAGGGAAACATAACAGGAAAAAACAATAGTTCGCTCCTTTATTAAGGCAAGACATTTGATAACTTGGAAGTTTCACTTTAAAATGACCTTTTCTTTCACACTAGCTTTGCCCGGCATCCCCATTTCTGAAAGCAGTGTCATAAAAACCTGAAGCTCTCTTAACAGTAAGGCGCACGCAATTCAAAAAAACCAAGCATTATTTATTTGACTTTAAAGTTCCTCATCTTACTGTTGTTATGTTAAAGGCCTGCACTTCCCAATAAGTAAGTACCTATGGGGTGGGAGGACGCCTAGAGTCCATTTCCATACACAAGTGCTAACACAGGAAGTATTAACAGGGGGGTGTGTCTTGGGTGCCCCATTTCCTTTGCTAATACCATGCAGCTCATCTTCTTTCCTTCATCAACTGAGATAATAGGAAACCTTAATGTCACTACATGTTGATGGAGCAGCTGAACAGGAGTAATACTGCCTAATTCTGAACATGGGATAAGAGAGAGCAGCTGAATCTCTTAGGGAGGTACACAATAAATAAAGGAGACTCACATGGATGGAAATAATCTTCACCTTACTCCTTTTGTTTGCACTTAGAAAAATTCATCTTTCTGACCATTTTGTCAGTTAAGACTGATGGGGTTCATCAAGTGAGATACCAATTTAGAATGATTAAAGGCAACACATTGCCTCCTCTTGGTCATATATTTCAAGTCATGGAGCTCCAAGAGTAGCAATTTCTTAACACAAAATGAGTGGGGTAAAGTGGTGTAAAGCTATGCATACGAAATAGGTAAAGCAATAAAATGTGGCACCAATGATCTGTAATTCTTTCCTGGAGGCCCAAAAAACCTAACAAAACATACTTTGCATTTTTGTGACACAGACAGGCTCTGGATTTGTTTTGGATTGTCATCAAAACACACAGATCCAACAAAACAGGACATTAAGTTATGCACTTGCTCCCAAAGACACAAATGCTTCAGACGGGGGGGAGCGGGGAGGGTGCAGCAGGGGAAAATGATCCAAAAGCCTCTGTTGATGACAGCTTTTAAGCAAATGTTTTCCAAATGTAATTCATAGGGAAGGCGTTTGGTATTTCTCAAAATATCTGATTAGATACACATCAGAGGAACCGGGAGACCAGAAGTGCCTTATTACATGCAAATTTTAATTTAATTCTAGTATAAATGCTTACAATTGTATCTTGAAGTGCAGAAATGCTTTAAAACAAACTCAGAATCCCTGCTTTATTCAGTGCATGGTATGTACAATGCTGAGTTGTTGCACAGGTTTTCAACATTTGTTATGTACTCACTATTCAGAATGGGGCTTTATCAGATTTTCATTTTGCTAATAAAGCCTCCTCAGCTTCTTCTACACAACACAATTTTCCCCCTTGATTGATTAAATACAATTGGATTATAGTTATTCTTCTATTCCCTTAACATTTCTCTTTCAGTACTCATGATACACTATATTGTAAGAGTTTTAAACAGGATTTTAGCAAACAGAGCTTGAAAACCAAAGAAGAAACTGTCCATTAATTCTTTGGAGTTCCTTACATTTGAATTCTTTAAAGTCCCTTAAATAGACATTTCTCTTGTCTTTCTACTCATGTTTTATTAATCTCTTTTATGATTTGCAAAACACCAAATATAGGCGTAGCCACTGAATTATTCACCTGAAGACTAAAGAAACCATTGATGCTATACTATTTTTTTTTCTTTCTTTATATTTTCACCCAATATTAAGTTTCTATTTAATTATAATGTTATTCTTGTTATTCTCCCATTGGAAAGTTTAATTGCAGTCTCCTCTTGAAGCAAATCCAACCCAAGCTCCATATATGTCCTGATATAGGCATACAGGCCAAGGGCATACAGAAGCACTGGTATTAAATACTGTCCTTGTTTCATCATATACAACACAGAAACAAGAAACCAAACAAAGAAACAAACAAAAAAAACAAAACAAAAAAAAAAACAACAACAACAACAAAAAATCTTTGATTAATCATCAGGGATTTTTCTCATTTTGCCATAGATCAAGTTGAAAAGCCACACAATCAGGTCTGCACTCATTCCGGACCAGAGTCCAGTACAGCACACACAAATGGGAAGCACCACTCAAGCAATCACACTATTCCTGATACCTTAGCCCATAGCATGAAAACTATTTGGGTAAGACATATCTATCAGCTATTTCAGGAGCAGCAAGGCAAGCTGTAGATCATTACAGGTTTCTGAAATTCTGCTCAGATTGGTTTTACCCAGCTTCCTAGGAAACCCCAACAAAGCTAGCTAAGTAGAGAAGAAGCTCTACAGAGAAGCACTCTCTGATGACTACAGGATTGCTGTCACAGACTCCTTCCAAACCATAAGCTTTCAGACTAAGTACTCCTTGACAGCTCTGGGAAAGCAACTTGCTAGTCATATGACAATGTACTACAGAGTTTGTGTCCTCACGTACTACAGTACTGTCAAGATAAATATCAACTTCATGCCTAAAAAGTTTGCTAATTTGTGTTGCAAATCAATTCAAAATTTAATCTACAGAAACACACAAAATCTAAACAGATAATTTACACTTACACATACAAAAAAACAAACCCAAAAAAATCCAAAACAACAACAAAGAAACAAGCCGCAGTGTTAACCAGATCTGTTATTACTGGTCTCCATGCAAAGTTTTATATCCTTCCTCAGGTTAGCAAAAATGCCTATTCCAGTCAGAAGGATGAAGGGATGTCAGTCAGCACACCTACTGTGTTTACATTCACAGCAAGAAAAACTAAGTCAGGCACTTTCCATTTGTTTAGTAAAAAGAGATCATGGCAATCCCATAGCTAGACTGTTGAGTACTTGCAAACAGCTTCCAGCTGACAAAGAGGCAACTGGGAACTGAAGGACCATCTCAGGTACCCAAAGAAAAAAAAAAAGACATCAAAATCAGATAAATGACAGACTCATTGAGGAAAGAAATCAGAGCTGACAAAAGCCCAGAATAAGAAGGGCGTTTTTTCCAATGATTCACTTTATATGAAATAAAGTGACTCAAGTAACTTAAATCATGAGGTGTATAGATTTGAATACATCTAGGAAATACACTTAGATTTTTGTTTTCAACTTCTGTTTTCTTCAATTAGTGTTGCAAGGGAATGTCATACAGATTTTCTCAGACAAAACAAAGAAAACCACTGAGACAAGATGAAGAGTTTCTGCAAAGTACAACCCTCCTGCTCCAAACTCTGCTCCAAAAGGATGTGAACTGAAGTTCATAAATTTGAACTTCAAATAATTTGGACTATCATGAAGCAAACAAAAAGGAAAAGTGAAGCAAAGTTTAGGTGCCAGCAAACTTGGCTGTAAGTTCCAACAGTGTCAGACTGTTTCTGCTATTGTTGAAGACACCCACAATCACTCCAGTACTAGCTCAGTGGAAGCAAATTCAACAAAAATAACCAGTTCTGAAATTTAGGAAAATACTGAATGCAAACTACAGCTCATCAATGCTATCACTCTGAGTAAAGCAAAAAAAAACACATCTGTGGAACATACTGTTAGGTCAGCTGTACACACAAGACTGAATACAAACTATGAGTCATGTGTTCCCATCCCTAAGCTTGTGTGTTCACCTATCTCCTTCTGAATGACAGGAACAGGAGAAAAGCCCACACAAGAAATACATAAAATGGATACTCCTTGTCACCACATCCAACACACACATTTTATTTGTCAGGATTATGCCTCAGGATCAATATGTTACATTACCAATCAGTAATGTAACAACTGGTTATGCTGTGCTCCAGCTTTATCATCAAGCCTATCTCTTGCATGTTGAAGACTGCAAAGTCAAAACCTACTGATCTGCAGTATACAGACCCATGTACTATCCACTCAGCTGTGGATGTGCCCAACCTAGATAAACAACTGTGCTGCCTGAGGTGCTGTATTTCCAGTGATGGAAATACACTTAGAACATTTGTAACATGCTGCTCCAATGTGCTACACTTCCTTTTCTAACAGTTGGTCTAGAAAGAATAAAACCAATACTATCTATCAAAGCCGTTCTTGTCTTTAAATTTATACCCGACCTGGCTAGGACAAAAGACAGATATACTTTCCTCCATTTTCTCTGAAAGTAAAATGCTGTTGAAAATAATGAGACAGAGACAGATATTCACTTCTACATGGGAGACAGGTAATCCTCTCTCTTCCATACTTTTGAGTATGTCACTGAAAAACATGTAACACAGCTCAAAGTATCAAGACAAAGCCATGGCTTGCAGTCCAATGTTACTATCTGAAAAACCATCCTTAAATCAAGTACCGTACAAAGTGGGCCCAACACTTACATTACTGTCTGAAAACTAAATTTGCTGCATTTTAAACTACAGAGATCCAAACAAAAAACCCCACACTGCCTGAAGTGAATAAGCAGATGAGTAATATGTCAGTGTATGACAGACAGCCTTAGACACAATATTAACTTTACTCATACTAACTAGAGAAAAGTGTTAGCAAACATGTTCTCATTCCCTACTCTCACAAATGGGACATCAGCAGGGTTTTCCAGCTTATATTTCAAAACTAAGATAAAGGTATAACAGATATTAAGCACAAGCATATTCATCAGATGGGCAAAACACTTTGCTTCTACTGTAAGCTCTGCCTGTGTAAAATATCACTACCACTTTTCTAATGGTCCTTGCTGAGTAGCCTGCTTTTACATTTGCAACACTTTACTGTGAAAATGACCAAACTTCCTCCCACTTGCATGGGTTCCCTGCACAGACTACAATTTGGCCACAACTCAGCTATAGATCCCCATCTCACAATGAACTACTCATTAGAGAAATAGAGAACACAGTGCCTGAAAAAAACCCCACAACTTCCATCTTTTCACAGACAAGTTGAAACAGCAGTCTCATTATCCTGCTAATGCTTTCAAGAAACTATCAGGACTTAATCAACCGTCAGAAATAAACTCTATTCTAGCATCTCTAGAGAAGCCCCTGCCTTTGCAAATTTTCAGAAAACGTAATTGTTTTAATAGGTTGTTAAATAAGAATGAGAAATTAAATTGAAATTAATATCAAAAATATAGACTTGGACGAAAAACTCCAAATTTGAAATTAATGAGACACACAGTTGGAAGTACAGTAAAAAAATTTACAATTCAATTCTAAACATGGCACCAAACAGAAAGGGAGAAAATTAATTAATGAGTCATTAAGTATTAAGTCAAGGCTCAGTGTGGTCTCATTAGCCAAGTAGGTTAGACCTAATTAAAACTTAGTACAAGACTCACATACGAAGCCTAAACTGGCTGTTGCACACTGTCAGTATTTAGTGTGAGTGCTGACCACTGAACCCTCACAATTCTAGAAGAATTCTCGTGATAGATGCTCACTACTTTTAAACACAACAAAAAAAGCATGTTAGTGCTGTATACCCTTCAGGGTATTATATTCCGTAAAGACACTAGGAAAAAAATCCAAACTAATTCCTGCTTAATTTTGACATCCACCTTGTTACTCATCACAACAGCACTGGTGTTTCTGCTGGCTATGCAGCATATACAGAATCTTCTATCTGCACTTGGGCTTGCTGTGTAGAAACTCAGGGCCAGAGAGAAGGAAAGCAAGCACAGGTACCACATTACAAACACCCTCCTCAGCCAAACTAGGTAACAAATTGCCCTCAGGACACTAAAATACCCCGGAAATGTTTATAACACTTGGACTGGAGAGGCAACAGCCTCCAGTGGCAAAATGACCAACTGAAAAAAAAAAGCACCAAGCAACAACACTGCATGATTTTAATTGTTTGCTTGATTCTCTAAGTTAAGGAGGTTGCAGCAACAAGACAGACTTAAAACTGAAGGAACCAAAATAGTAGAAGTCTGCATGCCTTCTATTTGGGGAAAAACACTACCACCATACAAGGTTCACATTTCATTCTTTCAATTTATTCTTCTTCTAACTCTGAAGACACATGCCCAAACATGAAAAAAAATAATTGAAGCACAATTCAAACAAAAACAAGGCCTAGAACAAAAAACATCTCTTCAGCATTGAGTATTCATATCTAAATAATATGAAAAAATGCTACAAAAAATTAAAAGGCCAAAAAAGCTCACAATTAAGAGCTTCCTATTATTGCTGGCCTCCCTAATCCATGGGTGTCAAGGAGACAAACATCTATCTGTTCCTCTCCAGCAAAACCAGAATCATGCAATACATTTTTTATACCACAAAATATTTGCAGAAAATGTTTCTATGAGCAAAAGGCATAGGTGAGTTCAATAAACGACTTCTATTTGTATTTAAATCAAAATTAAAATCCCTTGTCAAGCATCACAATTTGGAAACATACCTTTTAGTGAAGTTGAACTTCAAATCCAGCATATCAGACTATAATACTAAGAACAGGACCAGAAAGAGCTAGCCCTCTGCTAGTTTACATACCTTTGTCCTTCTTGAAGTCCAAAGCATCTTCCTTATCTGTCACTATTTCCTTCATATTGATAATGCTTTGGTGATTAAGCTGTCGAAGAATCTTAATCTCTCGAATAGCTGTAATTGGAAACCCTTCCTTTTCATTATCCAGGCGTACTTTCTTTAGTGCCACCATTTCCCCTACAAGAAAATTTAAATAAAAAACATTAAGATCAGCAATCAAACTACAGGATTTTAGTATTAGGTTTGTTTGTAAAATCCTTCCCATTCATTACTATTTTTGAATGGACCTCATAGTCAACATTCTGATGCTTGCACCAAACATTACGCTGAACAGAAATCAGCATCACACGGTGAAGCAAAACTACCAATGACTGTTTTCAGGTACCCACTGTAAGGCCTATCTTCTTCCTCCTGCATACCTCACTCGCCTGTCCCAATATTCCACACCATACCTACCAATAAAGAAAGAGTGATTATCAGCAGCAGCTTCAGAGACAGAGGGCTGTGACTGCTCTGGGTACCTTAATACTACATCTCCACAGGTCAGAATGCATGTATCTAGCCAAAAATACTACACAGTTCAAGATATGAGGCAGATGACTAAATTCATCAGTATACTTTCTACAAGCAGAAGTGTCACTGCCATATTTACTGTGAGGAAAAATTTCCCTTATTATTTTACTGCAAGGTGGGCTGGATGAAACTATATTCTGCAAATGGCAGGAGCATGATCTACTCATGATGGGGGATATCTAAAGACTACATGCTAGCTCAATCATTTTGTTCTTGGAATTTTATTGACAGCACAGGTATCTTTGTTAGCTCCAACAAGTACTTATCCTACAGCAATTTATATGACACATTCAGAATAGATCACATTCCAGCATGACACAACATCTACTTGCCTTAACGCCACTCTTCGCACAAAGCTAATGGAAAGTTTGCTGTATCTGCATGGACCCATTAAATGCAGAGAGCAACAACTTCTACTGGAAGTTAAGAAATGACTGCCACACACAAATAACCTGAAGTTTGCCCAAGAGGCAATATGGTTATGGTAGGATTAAAAAGTTAAATGTCCAAATAGAATCTCAGGAGAGCAGGAAGAAGATCCTAACAATGATTTGCAATGGTTCTCAAGGTAAAAATCTGTGACCGTTCAACTTTAGTTCTTAAATTTGCAAACTGAGACAAGCATAGGTAAAGAATGAAGAAGGAATTATAATTACACTGCTTATTCTTCTGGAGAAGGAACTGAGGCTGGTGTGTGGTCCTATGTGATTCAGCTACTGCTGAAGTAGAAAATAATCCAGCATTCAAAGCATGTGCAAATAAGCCAGAAGGGCAAGCAGCAACAGAAAGAAATACTAATTGAACAAAAAATGATCCAGCAACATACAGCATATATGAAGAATTTGGATGCAATATCTATTCAGAAGTAGTGACAATATTCTTGTGGATCATAGTGGTGACTGATTGCTCATTTCAGCAAGAGTTTAACAGGAAATTTAAAAATAATGACACTGTTGTGAAGTCAGTTATACTGCAAGAGAAACACTCTTCAGGGCTGTGTTGCATAGAAGCAGATTCTCTTCCTACTGTCAGCTAGTGACTACCTGGAGTACAAAGGACAACAATGACCAAATCTCCTGCATGGCTTCTTTCACTCTCACATCTCTTTACAAATTTGATTACTGTTTGCCAACCTGTCTAGGGTGCCATTTAGTTTCCTCAGAATATTTAATCTCTCTTCTCCACTAGTTCAATTCTGTACAGAGCATCGAAACTCAAGAAATAAGAATTAGAATTTAAGACTACTCAGTTTGCCTTCAGCCTCAGCTTTACAAATAAATGATTTTCCAATGCAGCAAATGATTTCTTATTTAGACAAATGCTAGATTTAAAACTGAACAAACACATCAACAACTAAAAACTTTCCGAACATTAGAGGGCAGAATACCACAAATTTTACTCAATATAAAATGAAAACTAAAACAAAACCATCCCATTCACTTAAAATTACAGGATTACATTTACTTTTTTGAACTTACCTGTATCTTTATCCCTGGCTTTGTAAACTTGGCCATAAGTGCCTTCACCAATAATACCAATGATATCAAATTTATCCACACAGCGCTTTCCCCAGTCTATTTCTTTTTCTTTCGTTTCACCATGTCGTGGTCCACATATTCTAGAAAGCAACAAATATTTCTAAGAAAGCCAATATATCTAAAGGTTGTCTTAATTTTGAAGAATCCTCAATGCTAACTATTTGAAATGCTACTAGTTAACTGTCTTACTACCATTAAGTGACAATAACCATGCAGTTTGAGTCAAGCCTCTCTAATATTAAAACAGGTCATTAAAAAGCAGAATTCTACTGACAAGAATATATTTTAAAGAAACTATTATCATTTCTACTTGCTTGATAGGCTTAAAAAGTCTAATAAGCATACTTTGGTCTTCTCTTGCTGTGTAACTGAACTGCTGGTTTCTTTTCTTCAGGACTTTTGGGTACCTCAGCTCCTCCAGGCAACTCAGGTGGAAGCGGCAAGTCTGCGAGCAGATGGCGAAGTTTCTTCTCTGTTTCTTTAACTGACTTCACTGAAATATTCTCTCGCAAACTATTAAAAAAACCCCACAATTTTGCTAGTAAGTTGACAACAGCAGAATATTAACATACATAAAGGAAAACATATTAGAATAATTCTTTTAAAAAATACATTCCAGACTATGAATGCACCAACATTTGAAATCTCTGCTCATAGAATTTGCAGGACTTGGACAATAAAAGACTCACAAATAGCTCTCTGGAAGATGCACAGGTAACTACCACAGTTCTACAGAAGTGTAAAATCAGATCTTTCTGGTGAAAGCTGAGGTCAGATGACACAGGAAGCCTTACTAGGCCAGACTTCTGCCACACAAGCTTCTTTCCAAGCTTATGGCTTAGACTATTAAGAATATTTAGAGCCCAGGTGCTGCCAGACATCAAGTGTAGTGGTAAAATCTGTACTCTGACTGACTTATATAAAAGAGAAGACCATCCTAATCCAGTTCTCTATGAAGTTGGTCTTCACAGATAATGAGCTTTGTGGTTAGAGTAACACTGCAGGGCATTACCAGGCTGTCCGCACCACCTCATTTAGAGATTCTAACCTCATACATCTGCTGAAACACTCCAGATTTAACATGTTTGTAGTGATGAGCATGTAAATCAAGTGGAAAAAAAAATCAGATGAAAAAAAATTACTAGATGTTTTTATGCCATTACTGATATTTGACCAATTTTTAATCAACCCTAATTAGACAGCAGATATTGTCAATCTCTGTCTTGAGAAAAATCCCCAAACACGTGTACAGCAATGTATTCCTTCAGGAATTACTAAACACAATGATCTTAGAGAGATGCTCTTCCCATTCTAATGGAGAAAGTCTGAAAACATCATACTTGCTGTAGGATTTTTTTAAGCATGTGGTTCCATTTTACCAGAACTTCCTTTAGCTAGATTCGCGCAACTACTGCATATCCAGCAATTTTAAAGCCAGGATCACCTCTAAACTTCATATAATTACATAATTGTTTCTCCCCAGAGGACTCTCTCATATTATTTCAAACTCTGTCGCCATATCAAGAAAACTGAATCATGCTTTGAGGGGACATTTCCCAGTACAGCTGCATTTGCCAAATCACACTATTCTAATGTCAGCATCCTCCTCTGCAAAGGTTTATTTGCAACTTCCTACCTGCTTAGTTTCATAGATAAAGTAGAAATTCTGTAAATGGAAGGATATTGCCAACTCCCATCATGGAGAATGCATATATATTTTCTTAATTAAATTGCAATTAGCAATTTTTATACAGTCAAATAAAGCATTCCAGTGTTTTGCATGTCTCTGTGCTTCCCCATGAAAACAGAACACTTTAATGTCTTTTGCCACTTCTCAAGCTGCCATTACCCAATTTTAAAGAAGCATCAGAAGGAAGCATATACTGCCTTTACCACAAATGGTTAACATACTATAAAGAATAAACCATGTTAGCACACTGCATGCAGTTATCCTGGTAATGAAAACCTCTTATTTTTGAAGTTCATATATTTGTATTTCTCTCACAATTTTGCCCCCAAATTTTCAATATGAGTGAAATTACAACATATGAAAGGTTCTGAAGCAGATTTTAAAAGTGGCACATGAAAACAGAGGCAGCCAAGAGCAGTCTTTTTTTTCAGGTCTGTTAAATCACACATCATTGACAACCAAGGCAATTTTCCCTTTCAGCTAACTTACACAGTGCAACAGCATCAAGCTTTCTTTGTTGGCACAATCTCTCCACAGTAACTATGAGCCCAAGGTAAATACCTTTGTCCTCCTCCACCTTTAAAAAAATTGATCTTTTTCCTTCGATGGCTTCAGCTTTATCATGACTTATAATCACAACTATTCTGATCTGAAGTTTATAACACCCTATAGGCAAAACTAAGCAAAGCATAAAAGATATTTTATTACTTGTCATTAATCTTTTTAATATAGCTGTTTGCAAGTATTAGGGTTTCTTTTTTGAAAGAATGAGCCCAGTGCTGAAAGAACCACAACTTAATTGTAGCTTAACTCCTCTGTACAGTTTAGCTAAACTTAAACAGGCATTACATAAAAAAATAATAATCAGAAACAATTAGCCGGCTTCAATATGAAATCTCATTTCATATTATTGCAATTAATACTGCAATGCCTGTTATATTTAGTTAAACTAGTTAGCCTCGGTTCTAGTTAAAGCAGTGAATCTTGCTCGCAGTGTCAGGAATCTCATTTACCTAGACAGGATGGCTTTGACACACATTTAAATGCAATCGTACATTTGCCACACAGGTATTCAATTTGCTACAGTGCTGAAGGGCAAGAAACAAGACTGGGTTTAGTAGTAAAAGAGGAATGTATCTATCCAATACTGTTAGGTTGCATTTATTTCCCAAGGTCTCCTATGCACCTTAATGTGTAATACAGCATTAAATTACTAGCAAACACAAGAGAAACATTTACAGCTCTAGCTAAAAATGTTTGGTTTACTTGTGAGAAAGTGATTTCTTGCAAACATGTGAGAGGCATGTAACACCATGAGTAAAACCAAAAGCAACTTTTCTCATCACCAAACCGAAAGAAAAATAGTAACCTACAGCCTAACAGCATAATTTTCCAGTACAAATCACAGCACATATTCTTTGGACTAGGAACAGACTTAACACAGTCAAAACTCAGATGACACTTGGAAGACAGAAATTAATTTCTTCACTACAGACCATTTTTTACACTTCAAAAGTTAACAAAAATGATAAGCCATGAACCTCACTACCATTATACATACTCTATTATAATACTACTGAACTTTGAGATAAATTACACTAAAATAATGCACAACTATAAAACAATTGCCTTTCAAAGGAAAAAGAAATGTCTACCTCAAACTCCAGCTAAATAAAGAATTTTCACATATTGCTGCTGAATTCAACTTTTCCCCAGAAGTTTATGTTCACACAAAACTTGAAATCTTGAATCCTTGAATGCATCCTTGCATTAGTCCCAAAGCTATTATGTACCAGCAATTTTAAGTCACCTCTTCAGTACACTTTTTATTGAAAGATTCCTCCAACACAAAATCCTTTTCTTTTCAAGAACCAGTTCATTGCAGTCTACAACTTCCTTGTGAGGGGAAGAGAAGGGGCAGGCACTGATCTCTTCTCTGTGGTCACCAGTGACAGGACCAAAGGGAATGGCCTGAAGTTGTGTCAGGGGAGGTTTAGGTTGGATATTAGAAAGAGGTTCTTCACCCAGAGAGCGATTGGGTACTGTAACAGGCTCCCCAGAGAAGTGGTCACAGCATCAAGCCTAACAGAGTTTAAGAAGTGTTTGGATGATACTCTAAGGCACATGGTGTGACTCTTGGAGATGGTCCTGTGCAGGGCCAGGAGTTGGACTCAACGATCCTTGTGGGTCCCTTTACTTAGCATATTCTGTGACTCTGTGATTAAGTTATTTTTAAGACCAAATTCCTAACTAATAACCACACCTCTGAACACAGTTAAACAACTGAAGAGCAGAAGCAAAGTACATAATGCGTCAGCCTGATCTAGCAAATAGGTTTGTATTTATTTTGCGAAGGCAATAATAACAACAATATCACCAACAATAAAAGAACAGATAATAATAACAACAATAATAAAAAGGAACAGATAACCCCAAAAGCAAATCTCTGTCACAACTCACCTATCAGTTTCTTTGTCTTCAGGCAGCGTGGGAGGCAAAGGCAAGGGTGGCAGCGTGGAGGTTGGTAGTGCAACGATTCGATCCTTTTCCTTGGCTACTACACTTGGTGCACTCTGCTTGCTTTTCTCTCTTACAGTGACCAGTGGCTGTTTTACAACAGTTAATTTATTCTCTTTTACTGCTGCAGGCTTCTGTTTAGTAACTTTGTCTGCAATTAAATTATTTTCCCCTTTTGTTTCAGGAATCGAGACCTTTGCTTTTGCCTTGTCGTTTTTCAGACTCGCGCTGCTGGTAGGAGAAGGCGTGTGCTCAGTTTTGATCTTCTTCAGATCCTTTACGTTGTTCACTTGAGGTGCACTTACAGCAGTGTCAGCGCTTCCCTTAGTAGGTGTTGAAGTATTGGAAGCTTTGGCACTGGCTTTGGCTGCCTCAGCAGCTCGTGCTTTTTTGTTTTTGTTCAGCTCAGCAGCCAGGCTACTCTTCAGAGTCAATGTACTAGGAGAAATACTTGAATGACGACTTCTGGATCTGGACAATCTGTGTCTGCTACGAGACCTTGAGTGCCTTGATGAATATGGACTTCTGCTTCGAGATTTTGCTGATCTCCTGTTTCAAAAAAGCAAAAACTTATCAAGTTAAAATTAAGTCTAGCTGCTTTCCCAGCATATCTGCTTTTTTGACAAACTACATTTTTTAAACCAACTATTATCACCATGCTGTCGAATAAACGGAAGTCTACTAAACAGGAAAGACCATGCATTAAAAAAATAAAAATCCATGGTTAATCAGTGAAAATTTTACACCTAAACAGGTTGTTAGAAAATATTACAACTTTCTTAGATGTAGTTTCTCCTGTTACAAAACAGTGAAATACAAGAATACCTATATAAGGAATGTTCTTTTTTCCTCACTACTTAGAGATATTTTTCTTCTTTAAGAAAATCTCATCCTATGCAACTTTTACAAACACCTTTAGTATATGCAGTATTTGAGGAAAATTCAGTTGACTACATAATCAGAGTTCAACCAAATTAAATTAATTGTACAACAGAAAGAGAAATGTAAATGTAACACTGAACCAGTAATTGTAGGAACTTCTTAATTTTCACTTTCATAAATGTAATTAAAATAAGTCAATTGAAAAAAATTGAATACTAAGGGCTACAATATAACTAACTCAAAGACAGCAATAAATCTTAGCTTTCCTTTTTTGAAATCTAATTGTACACTTTAAAAAAAAAAGCAAACAGAAGCACCCCAAAAAACCACAAGTACCTAATACTTGTTACACCTACTGATAAGCAAACATAATCCACAAATGAGTCTATGTTATATCTGAATGCAGAAATTAACAGAAAGAAAAATATTTAAACCCTCTACAAAATCATATCAAGAAAACAACCTAGAATGAGGGCAGGTGTGTGGGGGGCAATCTTAACAGTTAGAAAAGTAAACCTTTAATGTCCAAAAATACCATTTAATATGAATGACTTTTTCATTCAAAATTTCAAAATATCTTAATTTGCCTAGTAGTAGTTTTGAGTCAGTTCTTCATTTAAATGTAAACGGAAAAAAATTAATTGAGGTGAAAGGCATGAAACAAGTAAAGTAGCCTAATCCACTGCTACTACACAGAAATATTATGAAATAAATGAAATTAAATGTAGTGGGTTTATTCCATTTTACCATACCGAGGATGGCAAGGATATTAATCAGATTTACAAGTGTTTTCTTGATTAAAGTTTGATGGAGATCTGTTTTGCTAATCAATTGTAGGGGAGAAAAAAGTATAATCAGGATTAAAAAAAAACAGTATTCATCAGCTGGACAACGGAAAAAGTATCAAGCAATAGCAAAAATAAGACTTGCTGGAGACAGATAAATTTCAGAGTTCAAAAAATAGCACCACTGTATGGAGGTTGCCAAAATAAAAATAAACAAAAAACCCAGACCAAACCAACAAACAAAGAAACCCCAGTAAACAAACAAAGAGGAAGCCAACTACAATCCTTATGATTAGGACTATCCACCCCATATACAATTTAATTTTAATGACAAATTAATTCAGTTCTAATTATCAAAACACGAAGTTACATCTCAATGCTTCAACTGAGCAAATATTTAAGCTAGTGCAATAATAATTCTATTTCGTGTGCAATATTTACTAATTTCCAAACTTACACTCTTTTCTTTTTATAACGCAGGAACTCTTAACAGTCTTCATAAAAAGTCACTGAGATCAATCAAGAAGTGACTGAAAACAATGTGTATGCACTAAGCACAGACCTCAAAATTCTGTAGGTAAAACTGAAATTGATCCAAATTGCTAGAGACTCTTGAAAGGAAAAAAAAAAATCAAATCGCAGATGAAGACAACTCTTGGAAACTAGCACAGTTCAATTCTATGCCAGGAAGTAGCTTCTATAGGATTTTCTGGTACAGCAGGGTAACAATGACAGATAGTAATAGTAATAACAAAATAATCTTTTCAACAAAAATTTAACATTTGGCTCACTTCAGTAAAGAAGTATTTATGTTCACGTCTAACATACACCGAATAAAATCATAATATTGATCAGAAAAATTCCCTTGAAAACTCCTGCTCCTTTATGAACCATTTTGCCAAAGGTATTTTTTTCATTATTCTTTTGAAAATCTAAGTACTAAATACCACAGAAAATTTTACAGAGGCTTGGCCAAAGAGGAGTAAAAGTAAAAAGGTACAAAATCTCTTTATACAGAGTTAAGATGAGGTAGCAGGAAGGAAGAGGGAGGGCTGATACAATGCATAAAATACACGCACTTCAAATGCGTGAGTTCTCTCCTCACACTGTTGTCTGACTTTCAGAGGGGAATTAGTCTCAAGAAGTGTTACAGCTACAGATCTGTACCTGCTGTAGAATCAGTATAATTATATTTCTCCAGCATCAAGCACAAGCTAATAATCCCCTAAACTGACTTCTTATAAATGGTGCATCATTTGCAAGGATGTCACTGACCTGTCTTGCAAAACATTTGCTTGCATATCCTGTTCATAAATCAGCTATTTAAACTGACACTTGCTCCAATTATCAGTGGAACATAACCTCTATCCCAAGGACTGCATTGCAACCTGTACCAAATTTAAAACATGCCCTAAAGGTTTCAAAATCTGTTTCCTTTATAAGTATAATTTTGGGTTTCTTGTTTGTTTTGATCAGTGTCTAATATTAAGAAAGTAATCAATGTAACAAACAGAAACATGGATGTATTTCCACACGCCCTTGAAAAGAGATGTAGCAGTTTAAAACAATGTAGTTGGTGAGACACCATGCCTGATTCTAAGACTATTTCTGTTCAACTTTGGTACAAAATAAAACAGGTTCATTTAGTTCATTACTAAGGATAAAATGAAAAAATCTGTTCAAATTAGTGAAAAGTGATTTGATCACCTGATCAGCTACCATAACTTGGTGAGGAAGAGACAGTTTTAGAAAGCTAGGCCAAAAAATAACTTAAAATTTTATACTTTCTTCAAATACAAACATGTAAGGAAGCCAGGAATTGACAGTGGATTCATGTCTGTATTTTACCAATAGTCAAGAAAGTCTGAGACATGAACGGGATTTATGAAAGCTCAGAAAAAAACCCACACATACTAACCATTCTGCATCCTGGCTTTCACACCCCAAATGACAACTGCATACTTTTTCATGTATAGAGACAGCAAATATGGAAGACAGCAAATACACATGCATACAAATATTTAAATGTCAGTCCCAATAGTTATTACAGCCCTTAACAGCATATCAAAATGACAGCAGCCTAGTTATCAAATATGTTGACTGATTGTAATCTCTGCACTGGTTGAATTTTCCCAAAAATTTTTCACTGGTTCCGTCAGGAAAAAATAATTGTTATATTACATAGTTCATGTCTGTGCTAATAATAAACTGAATCTTCCTGTGGCATCCCAAACACCTTAGCAAGAATCTCTTGTTGTACCTAAGCCACTGGGCTAAACCCAAGAGAGTTACAGCGAAAACATTAACTAAATAGACAAATGCTGAATCTTAAGTAAAAAGCAGATTTGTCAAAGTGCTAGTTATTCAAGTCACAATGATAAAATCCGCTGTTTTCAGAAGCCTAATGATCTTTCAAACATTCAACTCTCACTTTCATCTATGCAGTTCAAAAGTCCCAGTAGAACCTCCCAGGCTAGACAACTTATGTACAAGTTTCCATCTATAAAAATGGCATAAATCCAAAAATATGGATATGTTTACATGCTTATACAGCACTTAGAGTGGAGAAATATTGCCTTATACATAATAAACCCAGATAGTTTGCTCTGTGTAAAAGATGCAGTCTTAACAGCACAGAAATCGGCTCACACAACAGCCAGTGTCTGCCATTTAACAAGACCACTTACTGGGACCCTGAAAAAACACCAGTAGAGACATCTGAAATACACAGTCCTCTCTAAATCTTCTAGCAGGTTGCTGTTAAATGTGCGTGTGTGCATACACATACATATAAAATGCATTATCTGACATTCATCACCAACTATTTCATATTTAGTCAGCAGCTTGTTTTTAGCACAGTAAAATGGAACAAAAGAACAGTGGCTACAATTGTGCTGCAAACAGAGAATAAATCTAACAATGCAATTGAAACTTCTCTTCCCCGAGTACGGAGAGATCAAGAAGTGCACTAAACCTAAAGGTCACTTCCCACTCTCTTAAACAAAAGCACCAGCATCTGTAACACACATGGGGACAGACTATTAAGAAGCCACTGTTTCAGGTAAGTTTCCTTCGATGCTTCTCCCTATCTGCACCCAGAAGTTCTGCCTCACTTACTTTTGCCACACACAGCCATTGCCAGTCTCCTATGAGCATCTTGAATTCATTTCACAAAGGTCTAGATCCCTACAGAGAGAACTGCCAGGCCTCTTGACATTCAGAAAACCCCTTCTGAACCATATGCAAATTTCAATATGTTTTTCTATATGGAGAGAGAAAAAGAAAAAAAAAACAATTTGCCTAGAGACCCTAAGTATCACTAGGACTAATGAAGTTCTAAGGTTGCTTTTTTTTCTTCCCTACAGACAACAGCTAGATCAGCTGCAAAGGGAAATGGAAGAAACTACATAATATTATGTGTAGCTATAAAATAAAAACAGAAAAAAAAGTTTAAGACATTATCTACAAAACATGTATAAGAAGAGGCAGATTTAAAGAAAGTGATAAAGTAAGAAAGCACTAGGATGGAAGTCACCCTTAACCCAAAACTCAGCACTGCTTTTCTCCACTTTTCAAACAACAAAAAGAATGACCTTTTTTTCTCCCCTCAAAGAAAAAAAAAAAAAGATGATTTAGGGATCACAGTTCTTTCTTTTTAATTTTTTTTTTGCCCAGTACCCTAGTTTTCATAAAACAAACAGGTATTTATTTTTTCTCTGCTTAATACAACATACTTAGTCACTTTATTAAAAAAATTTAAGAAATCAAAGTGCTATTATTATTGTCAAAGTTACGAGATTCAAAACTGTTACGATGTTCCTCCTTCCTTAAAGGCAACATTCTAGGCTTCACTGGCTCACTAATCAATCACCAAAGAGTCAA